GCTATGTTTGTAAATTACTACAGTCATAAAGCATATGAAAAGAACAACTTTTCTCCTTTTGTGTATAATTTTCAATCCTGCCATGCAGATATGGTGCAGAGACACGTAATGGCATGAACCCAGACTGTGTAAACAGTGACTTGTGAAGACAGTGTATAGGCATTTGATGACAAAGCATCAAGTGCATATCATTTGCAAACTGACTTCAGGGCAAATTCTGGGTTGATTCAGTAAAGTGGAGGTAACATGGCACTGCATTAGTAAAGGCATTTCCTTCTTTTGTTATAATTGAGATTGTGCCCATGCAATTATCCTTATCAGGTGGTGGAGGGGTCTGTATCACTAGAGGGACAATTCAACCAAAGACACCAAACTTTGGTTTGATCCCAAACTGAACGTCCTGGTTAAAAGAAAACAGATAACCTATTTACTCAAAATGTAGTTGAACCAGTTGGGTTATTAACTGTAAAACGTCCAGTCACTGAAGGCCAACAGACTACTTCTAGCCTGCAAATAATCTGACATTTCTACTGCCACTCACATTACTTTGACGTTACTATTGTCTGTTTCCTATTCTTGAATGGAAGCATATTTTCAGTTTCATGTTATATTCAATACTCAAGAGTAATTTCTACTTGGTCTACATAAGGGTTGGTATATATAGCCAGCTGGTCAGCTAGCTAATGTTAGCTTTAATTAAGCTACAGTATTAAAACTAGCCAGCTAGCCAAGGCCGGCTAATCTGTCAACTACCAGCTGGCCTAGCCTGCTAGCCAACAGTCTGTTAGCTACTACTAAATCAAAGCTGGCTTACGCTTTATGCTGACGCAAACTGTTCATAATTAATAGCTTTATTGTTACAGATGCAGAGTTAGTTATGAATTACTGTGATATAAATGCAGTAAATAGCGTGCAGGATTGTACAGCTAACGCTGGCGACATTTTAACCCGTTCCAGCCGATGTGTTTGTGGCTTTGTTGAATGACAGCTCCCTTAGCCATGACAGGGCAACTGCGAATAGTGACATTTTACGGTAACAGCAATTTGACTAGCTTTTAGAAATGTGGAATTGAACGCTGCTGTCGATTTTCCACGAGCTGGACTGAATATGTACCAAGTTATATGTAACTGAATGTTTGGGTGGCGGCAGAAGTTGGCTGCAGTTGAGGGCCAGCGGAACAACGCAGCGGTGAACAGGTCAGCCCGTGCTAACGTTAGCTAACAAGCTAAGGTGCTAACTACCGTAGCTACAAGACAATCAAAAATGGCGTACTGCTGACTGTGCCAGAGGACTCTGTCACACAGGTAACCGAAGCCCCTCGACAAAATAACTCACCGCGATCACAACGGTCTCTTCCCCTTGAAACTTGGGAATGTATCTGTCGCCTCTCGTCACCTCGGAGCTGTTCAGGGGCCTAAAACGGCACATCACTTTGATGGTGCACTCCGCCGGGTCGGCCATCTTCCACGGTTCACGAATGGAAATTCACCAATAAAATAAAAAGTATATCCTGGATCCCAGGGGCGGCCGTGGGGGGCTAAAAGGGAGGCCGAGCCCCTCTGTCCCAATCTCAGGTTCTGGAAAGGGCGATAATAATCTGTCGGGCATTCAACAGAAATCCTTGTTTTCCTCTCAATCGGTTCCCCCTCCTGTTAGGAAGCCATGATACCGGTGGATCAGCGGCTGGCCACCTCACCCCTCCTGCTGCTGTGGATGTGGATCACCATGACGTCACCCCGGCGCTCCCCTCCTCACTGTGTTATTGTTCAGAAATCCTCAATATAGCATTGCATTAAAGTGTGTCTAGTTCAGCCATTTTTAGATAAAATAAGTTTATTGGATCAAAAACACGTGTAAAAGTGTTTTATTTTTCGTTGTCAGGTCATTATTCATCTCTCCTCTTTGCAATATTGCATCAGGACGAAAACAAAAACAACTACATAGTGTAAAACAAATAAAATAAATTAAAATTCATTAAATAATATTCACTTAAATTTTGAATAAATTAAATTAATTAGCCTCAGATCCCTGTGTTACAGAGAAGGTCTTGGGATCGTACATGCCTGAGTAGACTCATTTCAGTCTTCCAGGCTGTAGTAAGAATATCACGCCCTTACACAAAAATGACCTTAAATGCAAAATGAATTTTAAACAAACACAAAGCAAAACCTTCACATAACTCCATGACAATACACTGATTTTAACTTTAAGCTTTTGCTCAGAGCCCTTCACCATAGCACTGAGAAGCTGAAGTACAAATACAACCCATTGCCCAGTGAAACAAGTGCAATAGACATAATTAAAGAGCTTCACTTGTATTACACTTTTCAGCTGAGAACAGGGCAAAGTACTTTGCAATGCTTTACTTTCAACCATGCACACACCTGAGGCAATGAAACCACAGACACTGGCCTGCTCATGCGGAGGAACTTGGAGCCTGGTGTCAAACAATTAGTATGTTTAAAAGTTAAAAAGCAATCAATACAATAAATCAATACTATGTACAATTACTCCTTTTTCCTGAAATACCTTGAATTTCATAAAAAGCAGATTAAGTTGGTCCCCATGTTTCCCACAGAGGACACTAGGTAAAAGTGTCCCATTCAGTGGCTAGAATTCAGTGAATATTACAATGTAAAATTCATAATAAAGTGTTACCCATTTAATAAAATATGCAAACAACTGACAAAATGAAAGTTTTTCTAACTCTTGAAAGGCCAATGGAGCCAGGATGTGTGGCATTTAATTTGGGGAATTTGTAATCTAAAATGGGAATTTGTCATATGAACACTAAAACGAATTAAATAATTAACTGAAAAAGTCTATTGAAAAGTTTCTGAAAAGCCCTTTGCTCTTTTGAACCCATTTTATAGCTTTTGTAGGTGTCTGACTACTCCATCTACTCCATGCTTGTAAACATTACAATACACAAAATAAGAAGTCCAACAAGATGAAAATATGCTGTTTTTAAGGACTCCAGCAAAATACTAGAATAAAAGTATTTAGTTGACTTACACTTCTAGGAAGGAAAACAACAGATTTAGGGAGAAAATGTAGAAAACGTGCCTGCAATTATTTGTCATGCTTTATAACCTCTATAACCCCACAGCAAACTTTTGCATGTCAAACATTACAAAATCACGTTGTGTGGAAAAGCTTAAAACCCATAAAAATAATTCCTACTCAAGATACCAGGGTTTTCAAGGATACCAAATACGCTGCGCTGAATTACTGGAAAAAATGTGTGCAACGAAGCACAAGTTGACTGGAATTTTCCATTTAATATAGAAAAACTATCAATTAGATTTGAATGTTTCATTTAGTATAAGTATTATAAAGCTTCAGTGAAGCAAGCTGACACAGTTTATGGGGGGACATGTTTTATCTATGTCGCTTTAAGGGAAATGTAAGGAAAATATTAGTGCTATTGTTACACCCAAAAGAGGATATAACTGTAGCCTGTGACTCAGCTGTCTTTAAGACCGTATGCTGTAGGAGCTGCAGCTGTGAGACCTCCTCCTAAATAAAAATGCATAATGTCTGACTTCATTCAACAGATGTCATAATGGAGCAAAAGCCACAGTAAACCACTAGTGGCTGAACACATTTTCTGGCCACTCCCTGAAACACTAAGGGATATCATTTTTCATGTGGGGAGTGCTTAGCTAATCCAAATACCAGTTCTACTGGCCCACTTGTGTGTTCACCGAGGAAGCGACAGGGCGTGGTGCTGCTGTGTGAGCTAACAGGGTAGTCTGGTTGTCAGAGAGCAACAAGTCCCCAAAGACCACATTGTCTACTGTTCCACACATATGGGTCTGAAAGAATAAAAGAAAGGTTATTCAGTAATATGAGTATGAGCTAGTTTCATACTTACTCTTCTTCATAGTTCGATGCTTTAGAATGAGAATACAGCGTGAGGTGTTAATTGATGGTAGTGAGCTGTTTCTTTCAGACCCCCCACCCCACCCCATCCTAACTGTGTACTAAAGGGCTCAGCATCCATCTAAGCCTATTACTTGACAGCTGTCTTAGTTATTATAATCTTGTAGCACGTAGATTTACTTTCATTGTTAATGCATTAGGCTGCAGGCATGGTTTTGTTTGGATAATGCAAATACATTCATCTACATTGTCTGTAATGTTTGATTAGTGCTTACAGATGAGGAAATAACCATTTAATTTCCATGTCATTCATATTATTTCCACAATGGGTAGAGGGGGAAAAAAAATCATCATTCAATATGTGATATATAAAGTCTGTAAAAGTATTGGCACTTCATCAACAGGGGCCCTCAGGGAGGTTTGAGGTGAAGTTGAAGAATAAAGCAGAATTCATACAGTTGGTCAGTGGTGGATAAAGTACTCACATTTTTTTTACTCATGTGAAAGTAGCAGTACCACAGTGTAGAAACACTTTATTAGAAGTAAAAGTCCTGCATTCAAAATTAAGTACATAAGTATTAATTAGCATCACAATGTACTGAAAGTAAGAGTAATAATGAGTACTCTTACTTTCGGTGCAGGACGACTAATTTCAGAATAACATATTTTACAACATAACTGTCTATTAATTACTGACACATTTATTTACACATTTATTCAACAAGGTGATATGTAAACAATATGATCACATAATTAGAATAGAAAAGAAACAGTAGAAATGAAGTATTAAAGTCAGCAGGTTCAGAGTTCAGCCTAAGTTACCATGGTGATTTACCCCAGTGAGAAGTGAACCTCCATCGTAGGACAGAAAACCCAGAGTTAAACCTGAGGTTACCTTGCTAACCTCAAATCCTGCTTCGTGGTACAGGCCTCTGGTTAAAAAAAACATCAGCCCTGAATTACTGGTTTTGTGTATAATCTATGATCCAATTGCTGTCTTGAGAGAAAGGTGAAGCCAAATTAAGAAATGACACATTATAAAAGCAGCAAAGATCAGTTTTCAGTACAGTGGAATGACAGAACACACACAAGGAATCTAGTTCTTGATCTTGAGATGAACAGAGAAAGAAGAAAAACGGAAAATCAGAGGAGGGATGGAGACAGAGGACAGTGGACAAATAAAACTGAATATATTCTGGTTGTTGCAGGAAACGTAGTCGGTTTGGGTAATGTGTGGAGATTTCCTTACCTCTGCTACAAGAACGGTGGAGGTGAATCATACTAACCTTGTATTTAGTAGAGCTGCATTATTTTTTGTATAGTGGACTGGATAAAATGAATATTGAGGATTGGCAATTAAAAGATATCACTGAATTAATTTGTCATTTCCATGACAACTCATGTCTCTGTGTTTACTACAGGTGCTTTTCTGGTGCCATACGGTCTGTTAGCTGTGGTGTGTGGGATCCCTCTGTTCCTGCTGGAGAGCTCAGTTGGTCAGTGCACCCAGGAAGGATTCATCACGTCTTGGAGGAAAATGTGTCCACTGGCACAAGGTGGGATGATTTGAGTTGAACTACAATGTGCAGCCAAAATGGGGAAAGAGCCACAAATCACACTTTAAGCAAAAGGCTTTTACGCAAAGATAGGAAATTAATATTTTCCAGAAATGAGTTTTGCTAATGTTTTATTGCTCAGCAGGTGCCATTTTAAAAAAAATGTGGTTTTTATTTCACTGTAGGAATTTGATTTAGACAACTGGTGATTTCACTATGTTTCTTCATCTACATTTTAATTGAAGCCTGGGCTCTCTTCTACCTGGTGTTCTCGTTCAGATCCCAGATCCCCTGGGCCAGCTGTGAGAACACCTGGAACACAGGTGAGACGTTGAAGTTAAGCCGCCAGGGTCCCAACAGAGTCTCCAGTTAACCTCAATGGAATCTTTCTTTGTTCCCCAAACTCAGCTCACTGTGTCGGTCTTCAGACTTTCAATTCATCTCATGTGACAGCAAATCACATCACCTCTGCTGCCATTGAGTTCTGGGAGTAAGTGTAATTTCCCTTTTGTCTGATGAACCATAATAAAATATATACTATTGTTTCAATTTCAATTTTGATTTTTCATTCTATGTTTTTATACTATGTTAGGAAAGAATCTTTTTCACTTGTTCTGTTTCTTCAAGCACTTTGAAATTAAAAAAACTTTCAAAGAATTTGCATAGACTCAAATTATGTTGCAAATATCCTTTAACATTTGCAAAACTGCCACTGGCTGTTGTGATTCAATGTCATGCCAAATTATCACTAAGTAGACCTGAGTGGTTGTGTCATATCATGTGTACCTCTTATATTTCTCTTGAGACGACGTGTGCTGGCCATGTCTGGAGGCATTGAGGAGCTGGGCAGTGTGAGATGGGAGCTGGCCTTGTGTCTTCTGGCCTGTTGGGTGTTCTGTTACTTCAGTATCTGGAAAGGTGTCACATCCTCTGGAAAGGTCAGTGGAAATATCTGAATTCTTTATCTACTTGTGGTGCATAGAATCATCAATATCCCATGACAATTTTTTCTTCAGCAATTTCCTTTTGTTTTCAGGTGGCATATTTCACTGCCACGTTCCCCTATGTGATGCTCATGGTCCTCCTCATCAGGGGCCTGACTCTACCTGGAGCTTGGCAAGGGATTTACTATTACCTGTATCCAGATTTGAACCGTTTGGCTAACGTTAAGGTGATCAGTTCATTTTATCCTAACTTAAGAATCACTAAAGAGAAAAATAATTCAAATCATACTCCTTTAAAGTCATTTCTTCAGGGTTTCAACCAAACTAGGTCATACCTGTACGATGTGTCTTCCAAACATGTCTAAAGGAAAAAGTATTTATAGTTGTTCTGACTGGACATGCTAGAGGCAGAAAGCCTGCAGTCACTGCCTCTTTCACGCTACATCACACTGCCTCCATGATCTCTGCAAGAGCCCTGTGTCTTTTGTGTGTTGCCTTGACATGATGAATGGTACAAATGGGGGATAAGGGCACACACTTCTGGACACACTTAAAGGCTTTCATGTTGTGAGAGATCCATTGTAAAAACCTCTGCACACCTGTCCAAATGCCATATCAAGGAGGAGTGATTGTTGAGCTGTCTGTTTTGAAAAGATAAAAAATTTGTCAAATGCAGCCCAAATGCAGGGGTTTGACACTGACAACATACTGAGGCTGTATGTCTTGGGTTTGGTGTAGTGACTTCCTTCATCTTCTATTGTGGGGTCTTTACAATGCAATCCTTGCATTGTGGTGTCATATATTGTAGACTTTTTCTTCTCTTTCGTACATTACAGGTGTGGATAGAGGCAGGATCTCAAATATTCTTCTCCTATAGCCTGACAGCAGGGACGCTGAATTTTCTGGGCAGCTACAAGGACTATAACAACAACTGTTACAAGTAAGCATGACTGTGACCTTCATTCCACTTTTATTTTATTTTGTTTGTGACTTAGAGGATTGAACTGAGAAGAGTTTTCTTTTCTCAGATATTAAGGAAATTACAGACCTATCGTATGTATTAGATGGGTTTTGAGTTGGTGTTGGGTGTTGTGTATTGTGAGTCTTAATGTGAGTATGAATGATATGGATGTGTCTTGATGTATCTGTTGTCACTGAAGTATTATTGGAAGAATAGCCACTGTTACAATACAGGGGATAAGGGGGATCTTAATAAAAAGAAAGAAAGTAAACAGTAAATCAGATATCACAACAACTCTGATGTCCTACTAGTTTGGTTATACAAGACATTTTTGTTGTTATAGACACATGTCAATAAAGCAATAAATAAAACAGTAAAGAGGTAGTTTGTCAAAAATCAAATAACAGACTACAGTCAACACTGTGAAATGTTTGAATGAATACAATATTTCTGTAAATACTACACTTTACACCAATACCTATTTACTTTTACATTGCTCTATAGCCATAGGAATTTCCCATTTTTAACAAGGGTATTTCATCTTACCTTGACATCTAGAGACTGCTTTTGGCTCTGTTTACTGAACAGTGGGACCAGTTTTGTTGCTGGATTTGTCGTCTTCTCAGTGCTTGGATTCATGGCTCAGAAACAGGGTGTTACTGTCGACACTGTGGTTGAATCAGGTAAATATCAACATTAATTTGTCTGCAATGGTTAAGATCTTGACAGCAATTGAACCACAGTTGAATGTGATGTTTCCAGGTCTCAAAATGAAGAAATGTATCAATCTTTTTCTCCAAATCACAGGTCCAGGTTTGGCCTTCATTGCTTATCCTCAGGCAACAGCTATGATGCCTTTACCACAGTTCTGGACTGTCTGCTTCTTCCTGATGCTCATTCTGCTGACTGTTGACACACATGTAAGATCATTTGTTGAATTACCTAGTGATTAATAGCAGGCACATTTCAGGAATGAAGAACTCAAATTTACTCATAATATCTCGTGCAGTTTGTGATCGTGGAGAGTTTTATTACCACGGTGACCGACTTGTTTCCAAAGATGCTTCGTGCACCAGTGAGGCATGAGATCTTCGTTCTCCTCATCTGTTTATTCAGCTTCCTCATACAACTGACCCTGGTTACTGAAGTAAAACAAAAATATTTTACAAAGAAATGTATATTATTGTATTAAAATAAATACACCGTCTTCTACATTATGTGTATTATTTAGATCTTGTCTCTTCCTGCTTTAGGGAGGTATATACGTATTCCAACTTATTGATTTCTATGGCTCGACCAGAGTCTGTCAGAATTTCATGGCTATATCTCAGTGCATGGCTGTGGGCTGGATATTTGGTAAAAATCATTTATTTTTTAAAAATGTATATAACTGGCTTTATTCTATATTTTTGTTATTGTCAACAAATCCTATAAAAACAACATCATCAAGTTTGTTATATCATCTCTAAATACTTTCTGACTTCCATACCCTGTCTGTAGCTAAAAAAATAATAAAATAAAATAATAAAATAAATTAGAAAAAAGGATCCAGTAGGTTTGTTAGGAATGATCAGCAAATGTTCATCTTAACAGGTCATCCAGTTGTCTGGATGAAACTCTTGTCTTAGTATTTTGCATTATAATCAAAATATTTTCATGTAATGTGAAACTAGACTAAATGTACAATCTGAACATCCATCAGGTGCTGATCGCTTTTTTAACATCATTAAGGACATGACAGGACAGAGACCGTCTGTTTTCTTTAAACTTTGCTGGAAATACATCATTCCTCTGCTGTCATTGGTGAGTCAGATTTTACATAATTCCATTAGGTATACTAAATTTGAGTGAGATTCATCTCCCAGTATGGGTGAATTTGGTACCAATGGATTTTTGCATGCAGGTTTTACATATTAATCTTCCAGGAGTTGTGTGAAATTAATCCTACAATAAAACAAAATTTAGAAATAACAAGTTGTGTGAATGGTCTCTGAACCCTGTATATCTATTCAGTCTTATCTAGCTTAGCTGATAATATTTATAATCGACCTAACTACTAATGGTTAGGTATGACTGATAAAAAAAGAAACTAAGATTGACTTGATTTGTTTATTATAGCCTCCTAAAAATCTTTATGAAATAACATAATAATGGTATTTATCTATGTAAAAAACTGTCTCCACATCCTCACAGATTTCCTTCATCTTGTATCTGGTTGATTACAAACACCTCAGGGTTCACAACTGGTACACTTACCCTGACTGGGCTTATGCACTGGGATGGACCATGACTCTCTCCTCTGTTCTCATGGTGCCACTGTGGGCAGCTGGACAGATGTGTTTGACACCAGGAACCTTCAGAGGTCAGTCCTCAATGAGTTTTCACGAGTCATAAACCAGAAGATAAGTCTGCGGAGGAATTTGAGAACATTTTTGCGACAAAAAAAACTTAAAAGTTGGTAAATAGAAATTCAAACTGAAAAATAAAAATAAGGAGATAAGAATGTTTAGCCTACTTGCTGCATTTAAGTGAAGGTACAGCATGCTTAAGGACTCAAAATGTCTCCTGTAAGTTGCACAGTTAGTATGGAAACTGACTTATCTCATTTTTGTCCTACTTTCCAGCGTTTGTCCGTCCTCTGTCGTCCTGCTGGAGATCCAGCTTGGCAGAGGAGAAAACTGGGAGAGGAGGGGACAAGTGTGGAACTGAGGACATCTGCCATGAAAGCTTAGTGTGACCTGAGAAGTCAACTTTAATAAAAACTTCAGCTATCATTCTGTATATAAGCTTCTAGAGGAGACTTCAATAGGTCTCAATCATGAAGTCTCATTAAAGATGGACGTAGCCTTGGTGACATAACTCATGTTACTGAAGAGTGGTTTTAAAGCTCAGCTCAGAGTGGGACCCAAGCCGTTGCCATCTTGGCAGAGTTGGGGCATGTGGAGCACGTGCTAATTAGAGCTAACGCATAAGCAAAATAATACTCGAATATCACTCACCTCAAAAAACAGGAGCACAGACTGTTAGTCAATTAACTACATAGCAAAGCATATTATTAGTCCAATATTTACATGAAAAATACTCCAATAGGCACCAACAACTCTAACATGGCTGGGAGGTCACTAACTGGAAGTAGGTGATGTGACCAGCTGTTAGACCAACTGTGACATCACCTGTCATTCAAACTGGCACGCCCTTCCTTATGAATAACCTTAAGCCTGAAATTTATTTACCCCCTGCCAGTCATTATGGTGGAAATTAATTTTTTTTGTAACAGTTGACTAGCTTTTGGAGCCATCCTCAAGTGGCCACTCGAGGAAATGCAGTTTTATTCACTTTTAATTTAACAGCTTTTACTTTTTAAAACGTTTTTAAATCAAACAACTTTTTGTTGATGACAGCTGAAGTCGTTTTAAGATGTCAACTTGGGCTTTGGGACCTGGTGATGGGTGTTTCTCAGTATTTTTTTATTATTATTATTTTTTGATATTTTGTTAGTTGCAAATCCAATATGTTAATCAAACATGTTGAATTGATAATTAAAATAACCACTGGCTGCATGCTTAGTTCATGTATGATTGTGGTAAAGCAACCCTTCTGATTTGCACATTGTTTGGGTCTTACACTTAAAAGTTTTGAATAAAAGTTAACATGTTGGGCTGCGACAAAGTTTGGGTTAGTTACATTGCTTTGTGATGGTGAAAGCTTAGTTAAGCATAACAAGTACAGTGTCATTTTCCACATATTAGGTTAGACACATAGCAATTTACAGTGAGTTTCCATGTGTGTGCAAATGATGTACAACATAATTTAAATTTTAAAAAGTAAATATATCTGTGAGAATGTGGGTGTAGATTTTCTACTGTAATTTGTTCTCAAACTGAAATCCCTTCTCTGTCATGTGTTTTACTGGGCAACACTGAAAAATATAAAGATCATCATATAAAGTCTGTAGCAGTGTTTGTTATTCCTCAATACAAATAAATAAATAACACCATCCTCCATCGTTTCTGTCAGACAAATCCTATTATGAAGTATTTTTTATTTTGTCTAGTTATATTTGCAGAAGTTTTCTTGTGAAAACTTTGTTCTCTTTATTCTTTAGAGGAAGAATTACTGAGTTTGAAATATCTTTGATTAATTAAACTGGATTGTCATTTCCTTCAAAAAACTAAATCAGGGCAGCTGTCATATTTGAAATATATGAAAAATAATACTTTTAGTACTACTTTTGCTTTTATACAACCACTACCAGCCACTTTGTCCGCCTGCTGTTCAGCTCTGTGCAGGTAGCGTACAATGGGGTTATCATGAGAGCAGCACAGAGTATATATGCAATGAATCCAAAACAATAAGTGAAAGATGATAAGAAAGCCCTGTACTGTTATTTCCCATTTCAAAATGAGCAACTGGATTTGCCCTAAAATCCCACAAACATAAAATTGAAATAAGTTTGAATTTCTGAGGGACCAGGAGTTAAACAGGGTTATTGTAATCAGGTTGTGATTGCTCCTCTGGGTTTGGCAAAACAAAAACCAATCATCAGCCTTGTTGTAATCTATGTACCAAGGGCAGGGTGTAGACAGAATAAATAAAAATACATTATAAAAGCAACAAAGTTCAGTTTTTGGTACTTTGGAATAACCAAATCACACAGAAACACACACAGGAATCTAGTTCTTGATCTTGAGATGAACAGAGAAAGAAGAAAAACGGAAAATCAGAGGAGGGATGGAGACAGAGGACAGTGGACAAATAAAACTGAATATATTCTGGTTGTTGCAGGAAACGTAGTCGGTTTGGGTAATGTGTGGAGATTTCCTTACCTCTGCTACAAGAACGGTGGAGGTGAATCATACTAACCTTGTATTTTAGTAGAGCTGCATTATTTGTCATATAATGTATTGGAAAATTAATAGTGAGATCGGGCAATTAAAGGATATCGCTGTATCAATTTGTCATTTCCATGACAACATATGTCCCTGTATTTACCACAGGTGCTTTTCTGGTGCCATACGGTCTGTTAGCTGTGGTGTGTGGGATTCCTCTGTTCCTGCTGGAGACTTCAAGTGGTCAGTACACCCAGGAAGGATTCATCACCTGCTGGAGGAAACTGTGTCCACTGGCACAAGGTGAGATGCAGTCAGCAGAAGAGAAAAAACTTTGTACATGTTCCTATAACATCAACATCAGAAATTAAACACTTCTAGTCAAAAACTCAAATAGCTGTGAAAAAGTTGCTCAAATAAATATCTAAAGACTTCAATCTTTATTACCCGAAAAAACATAACTATTATTTTCTGTGTTTTAGGAATAGGATATGGTCAAGCCGTGATGAAACTTTATGACTTCAGCTTCATTATAGTCCAAGTCTGGGCTCTCTTCTACCTGGTGTTTTCATTCACATCTCAGCTCCCCTGGGCCAACTGTGAAAACACCTGGAATACAGGTAAATGTGACACTATGGACTTTACCTTCAATTTCTAAAGCACACAAACAGGTTATATAAACAGAGCATTACAGTGGCCACGGTTAGATTAAACACGATCATGTAATGCGGTGAAACAGTAATTCTAAATTACACGTATTACCCTGTTGTTCTGTCTACATCTGCAAGTTCAGCAAGGAGAGATTAACTGGAAATAAATAATAATATAGAAGTAACGTTACTTGGAAAAACAGTAATTTTAGGGATAGCATACTTTTGAGCATTTACTGAATATAGTAAATATAAATTATGAAATATAATATATAGTAAAATTCCAAATCCAATCGCACAATAAAGGCAAATATTACAGAGACATATTTTACTTGCTTAACTTGAGTTTTCACAAAGCTGTTACCAATACCAGCTCACATTTATGTTTGTCACTAAAACTTCTAGCTGTAATTTCTTCAGGTAAAAGTCCTATAACCAATGCTCTTTAAATGGGCTTTGTAGCTCTTTATACTATCTTACCTGACTTCCAGCATTATTTGTTTTTTCTTTTCTTTTCATTTCATTATTTGTTTTTGTTTCGTTTCCCCTTTAATCAGTTAACTGTATAGGTCTTCAGGTTTTGGATTCTTCTGCACCAAACATGACAACAAACCAGACCATGTTGACCAACACCACCTCTGCTGCCACTGAGTTCTGGGAGTGAGTCCAAATTCAGTTTTAATTACTTTTCATTGATTAAATATTACTGTATAATGGTGACCCATTTAAGATAGTAAATATTATATCAACCTTAAATAAACAGTAATTATACAATTTGAAGAGGGGAACTGCTTAGCCTATGAAAATAGTTGTGTCTGTGCCAACAGTAGCAACAGACATCTTCTGTCGCAACAACCCATTTTTAGTTTAGAAATGTATAACTTCTCCCAACAGCCCACAACCAGATACAAACTTTTTAAAAATAATAATCAAAGTCGTATATCTACTTGCCTGCTCATTATATTTCAAAGAAATCCATGTAAATCAGTGGAAAATTAATGATGTGTTGACTGTGTTGATGACCTAACTCCTTTTCATTCACTGATCAGGAGTCAATAACAGCTGGGAACAATAATTACCATAAAATATAAAACACCTAAGGAGCTTACCCTACAGTGTACTGGACGTGACCGTTTCCTTTTGCCTGGTAACCCCTAGTGTAGTGTAGTAAACCGTCACATTATTTTAAAGTACCTCTTAAACTTGTCCTCTACTCAGACGACGTGTGCTGGCCATGTCTGGAGGCATTGAGGAGCTGGGCAGTGTGAGATGGGAGCTGGCTCTGTGTCTTCTGGCCTGTTGGGTGTTCTGTTACTTCAGTATCTGGAAAGGTGTCAGATCTTCTGGAAAGGTCCTGAGGAAATATTTTATATAAAGTGTTACACATATATATGCATTTCAGAAACCATTCATTCTAGTTTCAAAAAAGATAAGGGAATTTATATCTTTTTTTTTTTTTTAAAAAGGTAGCATATTTCACTGCCACTTTCCCCTACGTGATGCTCCTCATACTGCTCATCAGGGGACTGACTCTACCTGGAGCATGGGAAGGAATCTACTTTTACCTCTATCCAGACATGACCCGTCTGGCTAACCTTGAGGTATTTTATTATGATACAATTACCATGTACAGTATATCGAGTCATTTCATGTTACACTGGAGATGGACCATCCAGACTGCATGGTTGGTAATCCACTGGTCACACAACAACCTTCAAGGACCACGGTGAAACGCTGCATCTGTAAAAAATCCATAATAAAGAGTCCCAAAAAACTAAACTGCACATTCACTGTGATGACATCTATCAAGAGAGTCTTTACTCCTATAATCTGGAATTGGAAAATGCTAGAAAATCTTTCTTCTCAGACATCATTAACAAAAACATTAATAATGCACACATTTTATTTGCCAGTTGATGAGCTGACCAACCCCTCAGCACAAATCGAACTCCTTTTAACTGATAAATGCAATGGGTTTGCTTTTTTGGGGGGGATACAACTTAAAACATTAGATAAACTGTAGTTCCTTGAACGCTGCAGGTGAGCCACTGGGGCGCCCCTAAAATACTTTTTTGTCACATGACAGGTCTGGGTAGAGGCAGGATCTCAAATATGCTTCTCCTACAGCATTTCCTCAGGTATTCTAACTGTTCTGGGCAGCTACAATCGGCACAACAACAACTGTTACAAGTGAGTATAAAATGCAAAACAGAATTACTTTTAAAATGTTTTAAATGACAAACAAAAATAAAACAAATGCAGTTTAAAATGCACTAAAACTACAAAATAAATGCATAATCACCCAACATTATACTAATGCAAAGGTGGTTTGTGTTTCTGTGACCTTTAGAGACTGCTTTTGGATCTGTTTACTGAACAGTGGGACCAGCTTTGTTGCTGGATTTGTCGTCTTCTCTGTGCTTGGATTCATGGCACAGAAACAGGGTGTTACCGTTGACAATGTAGCCGAGTCCGGTAAATAAAAAGGTTTAAAATGGCAAGCAACTTAAATCTGGTTTTAGGTCCAAATACAGGAAGAGTAAATAAATACTCTCTAAATGTGTCTTTCTTGTCAACATCTAATTCATAGGTCCAGGTTTGGTCTTCGTTGTCTACCCTCAGGCTACAGCTATGATGCCTGTTCCACAGTTCTGGAGCGTCTGCTTTTTCCTGATGCTCTTTTTCCTCAGCGTTGACACTCATGTAAGATGTTTGGATGTATTGCGTGATAAATAATAACTGCTGCTTTGTTGCCACAAAAAAGTAATAATTTGCTTGTTTTATTTTGTCTCCAGTTTGTGACAGTCGAGTGTTTTATCACCTCAATAAGCGACTTGTTTCCGAAGCTGTTGCGTGCAGCAGGACGGTCTGAAATCTTTGCTCTCTTCATCTGTTTGCTCTTCTTCCTCATACATCTGACCTTGGTTACTGAGGTGAACAAATATTCCCACATCCAAGAATATTCTGAATGTTTCTAAAACCATTTCTCACGTTCAAATCTTCTCTCTTCCTGCTGCAGGGAGGGATCTACATATTCCAGCTCTATGATTATTATGGTTGTACCAGAGCTTGTCATTATTGTATGGCTTTATCTGAGTGTCTGGCTCTGGCCTGGATTTTTGGTAAGTTAAAAATTAATTCACAGTCAATCTCATTTTCATGATATGCTCTGACTATTTGTACAGCATGAATTTATGCATATGTTTTTGTTTATGAATAATTAGTTATGGGGTTATGCTTTCTTTAATTTATACAGGATATATAGGATGAATAAAATGGTGTTTTTGAATGTTTTTGTCCATGATTTGATTTTAAAGGTTGGGTCAGACTGATTGCATTACCTGAATGTAACCATGACCAGATTGTATATCTTGCCACTTCAATCACAGTTTTAGTTTAGCAGCAGTACTCTGCAATATGAATAAAAGAAACTTGATATGACTTTAAAATTGGTCTAAGGTACAGTCTATGAACTTCTTAGGTGCTGACCGTGTTATTAAAAACATTGAGGACATGACGGGACAGAGACCATCTGTTTTCTTCAAACTGTGCTGGAAATACATCATTCCTCTGCTGTCACTGGTGAGTCGAATAAGTTTAAACAAAAACAAAGTATAGCTGTATTTCTCTAATTGAAAGACTAAGGGCTCTATTATAATGATCCAAAGCACATAGTCTGAAGCATGTGGCGCAATGCATTTTGGGCCTGTCCATGTCACTTTTACTTCTTTAATGATGGAAAAAACAGTCGCTGCTCCAGTTGCCTGGTTCTAAAAGGGTTAATCTCTTAATTATTCATGGGAGTGTTTTGGGCGTAACATCCAACAAACCAATCACAGTGCCATCTCCCATTCCCTTTAAAAGCAGAGCGCGCTTGCACCTTGGCATATTGCTATTACAACGGCGCAGTGTGTCCCACTGTCAGATTCTATTTGTGGTCAGGTGATCACATATTGTGACTGACCAGTGAGCCCAGTCCTGGCACATGCACACAGCAGCTCTGTGTACACTTAGGGGCAAAGAGGGGTTGAGAGAATCAGTGTGCTGCGCACAGCTCTATAGTGAAGCACAAATCACAATGTTAGAAATACTTTATGTGATATGATCAGAAGATGTGAATAAAGCTTCAGTTCGTTGTGAAATTTTGGTGGACAAATTTAGGTGATGAATGAGACATTCATGACAGCTCATTCTGCTTGTGCGTAACTGGCAGAGTGTATATGCTCTGTGCGCCCCTGTATGTTGGCACATATTACTCTCTTGAGAGTGCACCCTTAAAATGAAAGTGAAATTCTGTGCCACTGATTTAAGACCAGGTTTTGGTTGATCAATCAATTTCCTCAGATAGGCGCAAGTGTGTTTGCTATTTAAACAACATGGGCGCTGGACAGAAAAATGACAACTGCGTTGGTTTGAAGCTAGCAAATACACTTGTGTTGCTCTTCGTGCTGGGTGTAAGACAGAAACCTAAGAGAGAGCTTCCATGCTTCCATATGGGTTTGGCTCAGCATAGGCACAGCAGTGCAGAGGAAGCAGGGATGTCATTATGTTGGCAGATATTTGCAAATTACCAATTACACATTTCAAAGTTAAACTCTTGATTCTGTTTTTCTTTAACCTTAAACCATAATTCCTCAAACCTTCACAGATTTCCTTCATCTTGTACCTGGTTGGTTACACACACCTCAAGATTAATAACTACGTTTACCCTGACTGGGCGTACACACTGGGATGGACCATGACTCTCTCCTCTGTTCTCATGGTGCCACTGTGGGCAGCTGGACAGATGTGTTTGACACCAGGAACCTTCAGACAGGTCAGGGCTTTAATCAGAGTTTTCTGCAACTCTGTGGGTCAAAATGTCCTGTCTGAGTGTCATTATAGTTACAGTGGTTAAACTTACTCACTCATCTTGTTCGTCTCTGTGTTGCAGCGTTTGTACGTCCTTTGTCGTCCTGCTGAAGATCCAGCCTGGAAGAGAAGAGAAATGGAAGAGGAGGGGACGACAGTGGAACTGAGGACGTCTGCAGTGACAGCTTAATATTAACTGAAAAGTCACATTAACTACGCAGTTCAATCATTAGGTCAGTTATAAAGTAAGTTCACATGCTGGTTACTTCTCACTTCTATGTAGCAGCATCCCTAAACCTTCAAAGTTATCTCAGTTATCAAATATTAGTGTACTTTCTTTTGTCAGAATTTACTTCCTCCACATGCTCTTAGTGGTTCAGTCACTGACGACTGTCTTGCTCTCCCACAATTGGATTTTAATCATTACTATTTGAATGTCTTGACGAAGCAAGCCAACATAATTGTGAGAATTTTGATATCATGTCACTTCATCATTATATCCCATGTTTGACTATGCATTAGTTTCCCATATCTCTCTAGTTTCATTGTATATGCACATATTAAAAATAAACTTCCATATATATATATATGAGTCAGTTGTTCTGACAATAGTGTGTGTGTAAATCTTTTAATATCAGAGTCCCTGAAATTTTCAAGACCTAAAAGAGCAATTTACTGTCTTCAGATAGTTTACATGAAATGGTATTTACAGACGTATGTGCATTAACAGTTTGTATGGAACTTTTCAGTGATGAGTGAATTTCAAAAGAAGATCATTTTTATTTGGACATCAATCTTAGTTGTAATTCATAAAGCGAACTCAAGTTAACTCGGTTAGCTGAGGTTGTTGTTATATGTTGTAAAAAGTTATAAACTCACCGTTAAGCACCGTCTCGTCCAGGATGTTTCTCCTTGGTGTGTCTGATGTGAAAATACAAAAGTGGAGACGAAACAACAGAAAAGAAATAAGTAAATCTGTCAACACACACGGCTGCATCCTGATAGACAGTCGTCAGGCTGCTACTGAGTCTGCATCAAGCCAGTGGCTGCTGGGTGTCGTAGTTCTTACAGCTGTGACTAAAGTGTGCTTACAGTACATGGGTTTCTGTTTGTTTCCCTGCCTGTGAAATCACTTTATGTATTTTGAAAAGAAAATGTTACAATGAGAATCAAATAATCCATTGTATTTTAAAATTCAGTTTCAAAAAGAGACATTCAACAAATAAACTAAAGTGTGTATTGTGTCCTCATACTTTTTGTTCCCTGGATGGTTTTCATGGTTTGGACTCCTTTGTATGGAAAATTTGAAATGCCTGAAATAAAGATAAATACAACACACGTTGCCACATGTATTTTGTTTTTATGGATGCATTTACTGGTGGTTAAATGAACAACATATGTTAGATGAATGTTATTTAGCTTTTGGCTTTGATTCCTCAACATTTTTTCATTGTGACATAGATTTTCCATCCTGCGTTAAAATTAAATCACAAAATAACAAAATGGAGGTTATTAGCTGGACATGAATTGTACTCAAACTAAAAAGTTAATGTAACAAAGAATATTTCATCCTATGTTGTCACTGGATCTTTGATCACAAAGGAAACAGCTAAGGCTAATGGCATTTTTTTATTTATCTAAACATTTGATTGTTGGAGGCCGAATTTAGCAGCTAAGTCATTAAAAAGGCTTAATTTTAATAGGAAATTTATGTTAATGGCCAAAGTTAGAAACAAATGTTACTGTCACTTTTTCATTTTCCCTCTTTTATATATTCCCCCAAGCTTCAGCCCTTAATACTGGAATTACTGGTTTTGTGTGAAATATATATGTATGAACCCGAGTCTGTGTTGACAGCAAGGTATATAGACACACCATAGCAGAGATCAGTTTTCAGTACTTTGGAGTAACAGAAACACACAAGAAGTTCTTGATCTTGAGATGAACAGAGAAAGAAGAAAAACAGAAAATCAGAGGAAGGATGGAGACAGAGGACAGTGGACAAATAAAACTGAATATATTCTGGTTGTTGCAGGAAACGTAGTCGGTTTGGGTAATGTGTGGAGATTTCCTTACCTCTGCTACAAGAACGGTGGAGGTGAATCATACTAACCTTGTATTTTAGTAGAGCTGCATTATTTGTCATATAATGTATTGGAAAATTAATAGTGAGATCGGGCAATTAAAGGATATCGCTGTATCAATTTGTCATTTCCATGACAACATATGTCCCTGTATTTACCACAGGTGCTTTTCTGGTGCCATACGGTCTGTTAGCTGTGGTGTGTGGGATTCCTCTGTTCCTGCTGGAGACTTCAAGTGGTCAGTACACCCAGGAAGGATTCATCACCTGCTGGAGGAAACTGTGTCCACTGGCACAAGGTGAGATGCAGTCAGCAGAAGAGAAAAAAACGTAAAAGTCACACTTCAATATGTGGCTAAAATAAATATTTGAAAGACCTCAATCTTTATTACCCTAGAAAACGTTAACAATTATTTTCTGTGTTTTAGGAATAGGATACGGGCATTTGGTGAGGACATTTTATGACTTCAGCTACATCATAATCCAAGTCTGGGCTCTCTTCTACCTGGTGTTTTCATTCACATCTCAGCTCCCCTGGGCCAACTGTGAAAACACCTGGAATACAGGTAAATGTGACACTATGGATTTTACCTTCAATTTCTAAAGCACACAAACAGGTTATATAAACAGAGCATTACAGTGGCCACGGTTAGATTAAACACGATCATGTAATGCGGTGAAACAGTAATTCTAAATTACACGTATTACCCTGTTGTTCTGTCTACATCTGCAAGTTCAGCAAGGAGAGATTAACTGGAAATAAATAATATAGTACAAATAGTTACCTGGAAATGCAGGAATCATAGGGACTGCATATATTTGAGCATTTAGTTAATATAAATTATAAAATATCATATATAGTAAATCTCACCAATTGTACAATAAAGGCAAATATTAGAGACATTTTTACTTGATAAACTTTAATTTTCAAAAAGGCTGTTACCAGTAACTGATCAATTTTAAGTTTGTTACAAAAACTTGCAATTTATCTGTAATTTCTTTAGGTGAAAGCCTGATGTTTTACCCATACATACACTGTGGCTGGCTCATTATATGGGTTTTTTAGCTCTTTACACTATCTCATCTGACCTCCTAAAACCTTCCTGTCAGAAAGACTTTGCTGATTAAAATAAGTTTCCACCTAAAAGAAAGCCACGACAGCAATGTTAAATAGCTAGCTCACACACAATACATGTAGCTTGTGTTTCCAGTAGATGGAGAAATTAAAAATCACCTGTAAGAAACTATGACTGTTTTTAGTCCTATTAAGACTGGGGTAGAGGTGCACTTCAGACTCTTGTGGTTGAAATGAGTATTACAAATACACTTTTAGAAAAATCCTAACAGAATTTTTTATTTTTTTTCCCACTCGCCTCTCAGGGCTTCCATACTGTTTGTTATAAATCCAGACATTTGTGCACTGCCAATTGTACTTGTAAGTGATCTTTCATTGCACTGTGCAGCCTATAACTGTTTCAGGATGATTCACAAGGTAACTGCAAACATCCACTCTTAATCTGTATCACTTAATCACCATATCTTAATCTTAATATTAATCACCATCATTTGTGTGTCCCCTTTAATCAGCTAACTGTATAGGTCTTCAGATTTTGGATTCCCCTTCACCAAACATGACAACAAACCAGACAATGTTGACCAACACAACCTCTGCTGCCACTGAGTTCTGGGAGTGAGTCCAAATTTATTTTGTGGCAAAGTGGGAACAATTACCATAAAATATAAAACATCTAAAGAGTTTAGTGGACATGACCGTTTTCTTTTGCTTGGTAACCCTTAGTATAGTGCAGTAAACTGACACGTTATGTACCTCTTAAACTTGTCCTCTACTCAGACAACGTGTGCTGGCCATGTCTGGAGGCATTGAGGAGCTGGGCAGTGTGAGATGGGAGCTGGCTCTGTGTCTGCTGGCTTGTTGGGTGTTCTGCTACTTTAGTATTTGGAAAGGTGTCAGATCTTCTGGAAAGGTCAGAGGAAATACTTTAATCATTTTAAACTGTAGGCATAATTAAAAAAAAGATGAGGGAAATTGTGTTTTTTCTTTGTTTTGTTTTTTTCTCAAAGGTAGCCTACTTTACAGCCACTTTCCCCTACGTGATGCTCCTCATACTGCTCATCAGGGGACTGACTCTACCTGGAGCATGGGAAGGAATCTACTTTTACCTCTATCCAGACATGACCCGTCTGGCTAACCTTGAGGTATTTTATTATGATACAATTACCATGTACAGTATATCGAGTCATTTCATGTTACACTGGAGATGGACCATCCAGACTGCATGGTTGGTAATCCACTGGTCACACAACAACCTTCAAGTTGTCCTATTGATGAAATTTTTAAACCAGTTCAAAACTGTCTAAGCACTAACATTCTTCCAGTAAATTAATGAGTGTTTGAGTCTCTGAGGAGAGCTTGGCTACAATAGTTTTCTGTGCTGGCTTCAGGTTTGAGCGCCAAGTGGAACCACCTCAAACAAATCTCTTCTAAAGACTTCTGCAAGTGAAGTCACAAAGTATGACTATAACATTTACTCTAAGTCTGAAGAGCAAAACAAAAATGACCATTTTGATCTGCTGAAGACACTTTCAGTATTACTTTTACTGTAAGCAATGCCCCCTATGAGACTCCTGTACACTCATGTATATAAGATACTTTTTTGTCTCATGACAGGTCTGGATAGAGGCAGGATCTCAAATATGCTTCTCCTACAGTGTGGCCATAGGAGCTCTAAATGTTCTGGGCAGTTATAATCAGCACAACAACAACTGTTACAAGTGAGTATAACCTGCACAACAAAATTACGTTCAAAGGGTGCTTGACTTTTAAAATGCGTTTGTTCTATTTCTATGAAGAGACTGCTTTTGGATCTGTTTACTGAACAGTGGGACCAGCTTTGTTGCTGGATTTGTCGTCTTCTCTGTGCTTGGATTCATGGCACAGAAACAGGGTGTTACCGTTGACAATGTAGCCGAGTCCGGTAAATAAATAGGTTTACAATGACAAACAACTTAAGTCTGGTTTTAGGTCCAAATACAGGAAGAGTAAATAAATACTCTCTAAATGTGTCTTTCTTGTCAACATCTAATTCATAGGTCCAGGTTTGGTCTTCGTTGTCTACCCTCAGGCTACAGCTATGATGCCTGTTCCACAGTTCTGGAGCATCTGCTTTTTCCTGATGCTCTTTTTCCTCAGTGTTGACCCTCATGTAAGATGTTTTGCTGTTATTACTGCATAAATAATAACTGCTGCTTTGTGGCCACAAAAAAGTAATAATTTGCTTGTTTTATTTTGTCTCCAGTTTGTGACAGTCGAGTGTTTTATCACCTCAATAAGCGACTTGTTTCCGAAGCTGTTGCGTGCAGCAGGACGGTCTGAAATCTTTGCTCTCTTCATCTGTTTGCTCTTCTTCCTCATACATCTGACCTTGGTTACTGAGGTGAACAAATATTCCCACATCCAAGAATATTTCCAAACGTTTGTCACTAAATGTTTGATTTCTCACGTTCAAATCTTCTCTCTTCCTGCTGCAGGGAGGGATCTACATATTCCAGCTCTATGATTATTATGGTTGTACCAGAGCTTGTCATTATTGTATGGCTTTATCTGAGTGTCTGGCTCTGGCCTGGATTTTTGGTAAGTGAAAATAGAGATTTTTGTTGTTGATGTTATGTTAATTTACTTGAACCTCTGGAGCTGACTGTTTGACCCATGACCTGGTCATACATCTCTCTATAATTTGATAATAGCTGGTGTCTTCATGAAAGAACGATCCTTTGTCTTTGTTTTGTATCTATTTGATAGTTTGATGGTGGGAAGATTGAAAAAGTAAATCCTTTTGCGTCTGTAAACTTAACATGTCCTAACTATGAACTCTTTAATAGCTTGTGAGTGACACCAGGCCAGGGATGTCCAATACATATCCTCTGACTATTTGAGTGTAACCAACAATTTTGATCAGATTGTTCATCCTCCCACCTCAATTACAGTCATATATCAGCCACAGTACTCTGAAATACGAATAAATAAAACTTAATATGACTTTAAAATTGGTCTTATGTGCAGTCTAGCTTTGTTCATACTGATCAGCAAATATTTATCTTAACAGGTCGTCCAGTTGTTTGGATCGAACTCTTGTCTTAGCATTTTGCAATAATGATTAAATATAATAAAAATGTTTTAAGATAATGTGACTAAATGTAAAATCTGAACTTCTTAGGTGCTGACCGTGTTATTAAAAACATTGAGGACATGACGGGACAGAGACCATCTGTTTTCTTCAAACTGTGCTGGAAATACATCATTCCTCTGCTGTCACTGGTGAGTCAAATAAGTTTTAAAGAGAAACAAAATATAGCTGTATTGCTCTAATTGAAAGACTAAGAGTCAGCTGCCATGCCTCCAAATCAGTTTGGCACAGCAGTGCAGAGGATAATAGGGATGTCATTACTTTGGCAGATATTTACTCTAGACATAGTATCAGACAACTTACGATTTCAAAGTTAAACTCTATTATTAATCTGTTTTTCTTTAACCTTAAACCATAATTCCTCAAACCTTCACAGATTTCCTTCATCCTGTACCTGGTTGGTTACACACACCTCAAGATTAACAGCTGGTACATTTACCCTGACTGGGCGTACACACTGGGATGGACCATGACTCTCTCCTCTGTTCTCATGGTGCCACTGTGGGCAGTTGGACAGATGTGTTTGACACCAGGAACCTTCAGACAGGTCAGGGCTTTAATCAGAGTTTTCTGCAACTCTGTGGGTCAAAATGTCCTGTCTGAGTGTCATTATAGTTACAGTGGTTAAACTTACTCACTCATCTTGTTCGTCTCTGTGTTGCAGCGTTTGTACGTCCTTTGTCGTCCTGCTGAAGATCCAGCCTGGAAGAGAAGAGAAATGGAAGAGGAGGGGACGACAGTGGAACTGAGGACGTCTGCAGTGACAGCTTAATATTAACTGAAAAGTCACATTAACTACGCAGTTCAATCATTAGGTCAGTTATAAAGTAAGTTCACATGCTGGTTACTTCTCACTTCTATGTAGCAGCATCCCTAAACCTTTAAAGTTATCTCAGTTATCAAATATTAGTGTACTTTCTCTAGAGGACTGAGGACGTCTGCAGTGACAGTTTAACTGAAAAGTCACATTAACTACTACTACTACTTCAATCATTAATCATTGGTGTGCTTCTGTAAAATAAAAGTCCTGTTTCCATCTCGCAGGGCATCTACTAGCTGTCATAAATTATAAAATGAAAATGGTAATGTTGGGTTGCATGTTTACAATCTATCTATAATTTTGTCATCCTGATACTCTATTTTACATTGTTGGTTATCCACAGAATGTCTGCTCTTCCTGAGGTTTCCTCCATTTTCCCTCCCCATTCAAGGCTTTTTGAATAATCTTTCCTGTTTCAAATCAAGGGTCTCAGGATCGGGGGTATTATATGATGTACAGATTGTAAAGCCCCTTGAGGCAAATTTGTGATATGAGCTATATAAATAAAATTTACTTATTACCAAAACCAAACCAGTCCATTTACATCTTCACTGTGATGTAGGGCTATGGGCCAGAAAATGAAAGGTTTCAGCAAATTTACATCATGTCCTAATTACTATCCAGGCAAAGAACAATTTTCTGTGTGCATATGCTGTAATTGTAACATGTAGCAGTAAAAAACAGACTACAAACTGTCTATTTCTCCATAACATATAAAGTATCTTTAAAGAAGCTGACCACTTAAGACACAAAACATCTGGAACACTGGCATCACAGCACAGTGGAATCCTTATATACTGTATATCACATGTATTTTAGGTGCTGGTTGTTTTAGAAAATGTGCATGACTTTGGCAGCATTTGGAGATTATCCCATCTTTGCAACAAGAATGATGGGGGTAAATTATACAAATTCAGAACTTCGCAAATGTCTTTTCAGAAATAAGTTGTGACTGAATTTGTTATTGATGAGCTCCACTGGCTCTTGCAAAACAGGGAGGTAGCCCCCTCAAAGCTAGAACTGATTTTGTTTTTAAAGATGACAGGTTAGGGTTGAGGGAAGGATGTAGTCAAATTAGGAGAAACATGTATAAAAGCAGCAGAATTTTGGAGTCCTAACAGAAACACACAATGGACCAGTTACTTGATTTCTGGGGGACCAAAGCCAGGAGGAAAAGCGAAAGGCAGAGAGATGTTGGAGACAGAGGACAGTGGGAAAAAAAAACAGAATTTATTCTGGTTGTTGCAGGAAATGTGATCGGCCTGGTGGAGAGTTCCTTACCTTTGCTAGAAGAATGGTGGAGATGAGTCTTACATGTCATGAATTTAGCAGAAGCTTGATTAAACAAATCTAATTTGTCTAATTTACTATGAGCACACATATCTCTCTGTGCACATATTAAGGTGCTTTTCTGGTGCCATACGGTCTGTTAGCTGTGGTGTGTGGGATCCCTCTGTTCCTGCTGGAGAGCTCAGTTGGTCAGTGCACCCAGGAAGGATTCATCACGTCTTGGAGGAAAATGTGTCCACTGGCACAAGGTGGGATGATTTGAGTCGAACTACAATGTGCAGCCAAAATGGGGAAAAAGCCACAAATCACACTTTAAGCAAAAGGCTTTTACACAAAGATAGGAAATTAATATTTTCCAGAAATGAGTTTTGCTAATGTTTTATTGCTCAGCAGGTGCCATTTTAAAAAAAAATGTGGTTTTTATTTCACTGTAGGAATTTGATTTGGACAACTGGTGATTTCACTATGTTTCTTCATCTACATTTTAATTGAAGCCTGGGCTCTCTTCTACCTGGTGTTCTCGTTCAGATCCCAGATCCCCTGGGCCAGCTGTGAGAACACCTGGAACACAGGTGAGACGTTGAAGTTAAGCCGCCAGGGTCCCAACAGAGTCTCCAGTTAACCTCAATGGAATCTTTCTTTGTTCCCCAAACTCAGCTCACTGTGTCGGTCTTCAGACTTTCAATTCATCTCATGTGACAGCAAATCAGACCACCTCTGCTGCCATTGAGTTCTGGGAGTAAGTGTAATTTCCCTTTTGTCTGACGCACCATAATAAAATATATACTATTGTTTCAATATTTCAATTTTGATTTATTATTTTTCATTCTATGTTTTTACGCTAGATTTCTTCTTCACTTGTTCTGTTTCTTCAAGCACTTTGAAATTAAAAAAACTTTCTGAAAGTTTATGTACTCAGAACAATTTCAAGGACTCTGAAATCTGTTGTGGCACTTTTGTTATTGGTTGCAACGTACAATGTTAAAAGGTAGTAGCATTCTGATGCACTTTTGCAACTTTGGCAGCTTTGACTTCAAATTTACCATTTTTCAGTGACTGTGACAAAGAAAACAATATTAAAAGAAGATCTAACACAATTGATTATTCAAAGGAAGATAGAAGTAAAACAATAGAAAATGTAGAAAATGTTAAAAAATTTAAACATTTTCTACATTGTGCATAAACTCAAATTATGTTGCAAATATCCTTTAATATTTGCAAAACTGTCACCGGCTGTTGTGATTCAATGTCATGCCAAGTTATATCATGTGTACCTCTTATATTTCTGTGGAAAGTGGAATGAAGGTCACAGTCATGCTTACTTGTTGTTGTACTCATTGTAGCTGCCCAGAACATTCAGAGTCCCTGCTGTCAGGCTATAGGAGAAGAATATTTGAGATCCTGCCTCTATCCACACCTGTAATGTACTAAAGAGAAGAAAAGGTCTACAATAGATGAATCATCAATCATCAATATCCCATGACAATTTTTCCTTCAGACATTTCACTGCCACCTTCCCCTATGTGATGCTCATGGTCCTCCTCATCAGGGGCCTGACTCTACCTGGAGCTTGGCAAGGGATTTACTATTACCTGTATCCAGATTTGAACCGTTTGGCTAACGTTAAGGTGATCAGTTCATTTTATCCTAACTTAAGAATCACTAAAGAGAAAAATAATTCAAATCATACTCCTTTAAAGTCATTTCTTCAGGGTTTCAACCAAACTAGGTCATACCTGTACGATGTGTCTTCCAAACATGTCTAAAGGAAAAAGTATTTATAGTTGTTCTGACTGGACATGCTAGAGGCAGAAAGCCTGCAGTCACTGCCTCTTTCACGCTACATCACACTGCCTCCATGATCTCTGCAAGAGCCCTGTGTCTTTTGTGTGTTGCCTTGACATGATGAATGGTACAAATGGGGGATAAGGGCACACACTTCTGGACACACTTAAAGGCTTTCATGTTGTGAGAGATCCTCTGCACACCTGGCCAAATGCCATATCAAGGAGGAGTGATTGTTGAACTGTCTGTTTTGAAAAGTTACAAAATTTGTCAAATGCAGCCCAAATGCAGGGGTTTGACACTGACAACATACTGAAGCAGTAATTTGGATGCTTTAATGTCTTGGGTTTGGTGTACTGGCTGGCTTGCTCTTGGGTGACTTCCTTCATCTTCTAATGTGGGGTCAGTGCAATCCTTGCATTGTGGTGTCATCTATTGAAGACTTTTTCTTCTCTTTCGTACACTACAGGTGTGGATAGAGGCAGGATCTCAAATATTATTTTCCTATAGCCTGACAGCAGGGACTCTGAATGTTCTGGGCAGCTACAATGACTATAACAACAACTGTTACAAGTAAGCATGACTGTGACCTTCATTCCACTTTTATTTTATTTTGTTTGACTTAGAGGATTGAACTGTGAAGAGTTTTCTTTTCTCAGATATTAAAGAAATTACAATTACAGAGCTATCCTATATATTTGACAGGTTTTGAGTTGGTGTTGCGAATTGTGAGTCTTATTGTGTTTCACAACTGGTTCATTTACCCTGACTGGGCTTATGCACTGGGATTCACCATGACTCTCTCCTCTGTTCTCATGGTGCCACTGTGGGCAGCTGGACAGATGTGTTTGACACCAGGAACCTTCAGAGGTCAGTCCTCAATGAGTTTTCACGAGTCATAAACCAGAAGATAAGTCTGCGGAGGAATTTGAGAACATTTTTGCGACAAAAAAAACTTAAAAGTTGGTAAATAGAAATTCAAACTGAAAAATAAAAATAAGGAGATAAGAATGTTTAGCCTACTTGCTGCATTTAAGTGAAGGTACAGCATGCTTAAGGACTCAAAATGTCTCCTGTAAGTTGCACAGTTAGTATGGAAACTGACTTATCTCATTTTTGTCCTACTTTCCAGCGTTTGTCCGTCCTCTGTCGTCCTGCTGGAGATCCAGCTTGGCAGAGGAGAAAACTGGGAGAGGAGGGGACAAGTGTGGAACTGAGGACATCTGCCATGAAAGCTTAGTGTGACCTGAGAAGTCAACTTTAATAAAAACTTCAGCTATCATTCTGTATATAAGCTTCTAGAGCAGACTTCAATAGGTCTCAATCATGAAGTCTGATTAAAGATGGACGTAGCCTTGGTGACGTCACTCATATGTTACTAAGGATTGGAGCTGAGACTTAAGTGCATGTCATGTAGGTTTAACTGTGTCAAACATATTCCTCCATTAGCTTAGCTGGGCGTCGTGCTCAAGGGCTAATCTATTTGCTGGCTAATTAGCCAGTTGACAAGCTAAGCTAACAAGCCAGGTATGGTGAACGCACACATGAATACCTGCTAATTAGAGCTAACTAGAGCGAAACAATACTCGAATTTTACTCACCTCATAAAACAGGAGCACAGACTTCCCCACGTTCTGTTAGTCAACTACCCACACCGCAAAGCATATTATTAGTGAAAATTTTGTATGAAATATTCTCCAAAAGGAACCAGCAACTCTAACATGGGTGGGAGGTCACTAACTGGAAGTAGGTGATGTGACCAGCCGTTAGACACCGAGCAACTCGCAAACTGTGACGTCACCTGTCACTCAACCCAACATTCCCTACCTTATGTATAACTTGAAGCCTGAAATTTATTCACCTGCACTAGCAACCACACATGGAGGGGGAAATTAGTTTTTGTGTAACATTTGATAAAAAGCCCTGTACTATTATCTATTTCCCATTTCAAAACATGCCCTAACATTCCACAAACATAAAACTGAAATAAATTTGAATTTCTGAGGGACCAGGAATTAAACAGGGTTATTGTAATCAGGTTGTGATTGCTCCTCTGGGTTTGGCAAAACAAAAACCAATCATCAGCCTTGTTGTAATCTATGTACTAAGGGCAGGGTGTAGACAGATTAAGTAAGAGATACATTATAAAAGCAGCAAAGTTCAGTTTTTGGTACTTTGGAATAACCAAATCACACGGAAAAACACACAGGAATTAAGTTCTTGATCTTGAGATGAACAGAGAAAGAAGAAAAACAGAAAATCAGAGGAAGGATGGAGACAGAGGACAGTGGACAAATAAAACTGAATATATTCTGGTTGTTGCAGGAAATGTGGTCGGCTTGGGTAATGTGTGGAGATTTCCTTACCTTTGCTACAAGAACGGTGGAGGTGAATATTATACACTGCAAATGGGATTTTTTTTGGTTGATGAGAGATGAGTGACTTAAAACTTGTAATTTAATTTGTCATTTCAATATTAAGACATGTGTTCTATTTACTACAGGTGCTTTTCTGGTGCCATACGGTCTGTTAGCTGTGGTGTGTGGGATTCCTCTGTTCCTGCTGGAGACTTCAAGTGGTCAGTACACCCAGGAAGGATTCATCACCTGCTGGAGGAAACTGTGTCCACTGGCACAAGGTGAGATGATGCGTGTTGAGATAAAATGCAAGATCAACAGGAGAAAAAGCCTAAATCACACATTCAATGATGTAATAATAGACATTTCAAGGTGGTCTGACGTGTCACAAAGCTAAATTTGAATTACCTCCACGGATATGAACATTTTAAACGATATTTTAAATTTCTATTTCAGGAATTGGATATGGATATTTCGTGATGAAACTTTATGACTTCAGCTATGTATTAGTTCAAGTCTGGGCTCTCTTCTACCTGGTGTTCTCATTCAGATCTCAGCTTCCATGGGCCAACTGTGACAACACCTGGAACACAGGTAAATTCTCTGTATAGATTTTACTGAAAATTAACTTTGCAAGCAACATTTTTTACCTCGAGTGTCTTGACTGGTAAATTGTACAAGTGTATGGCTTCTGTTGGGACAGTGGTAATACTAATAACTGTAGTTATGATATGTGACATTTCTGTAATCTGTGTAAATTCATCATGTGATTCATATCTACCTATTTCAAAAATTGTCCTCTTACAGGATAAATTTGTCTCTCTCAGTTTCATGATGTAGTGTAGATGATTGTATTGCATCTAAATCATTCTTCTCACATTAACCATTATGAAATCTTTAATCTTTGTTTCCAAACCCAGCTCACTGTCTTGGTCTTCAGCCTTTCAATTCATCTAATCTGACAGCCAATCAGACCACATCTGCTGCAATCGAGTTCTGGGAGTGAGTCTAACTAATAATGAAATGTAAATTAGCCTACTGTATCACTATGAAGTGAGCAGGAGTGAAAAAATGTCTTTTATGCAAAGACAGTATCCAATAATCTGTCAGAGTTGATATGAAAAAGATAAAACAGCATGATGCCGATATTTTTTGTTTTCAAATTTCCTCTCTTCTCAGACGACGTGTGCTGGCCATGTCTGGAGGCATTGAGGAGCTGGGCAGTGTGAGATGGGAGCTGGCTCTGTGTCTGCTGGCTTGTTGGGTGTTCTGCTACTTTAGTATTTGGAAAGGTGTCAGATCTTCTGGAAAGGTCAGAGGAAATACTTTAATCATTTTAAACTGTAGGCATAATTAAAAAAAAGATGAGGGAAATTGTGTTTTTTCTTTGTTTTGTTTTTTTCTCAAAGGTAGCCTACTTTACAGCCACTTTCCCCTACGTGATGCTCCTCATACTGCTCATCAGGGGACTGACTCTACCTGGAGCATGGGAAGGAATCTACTTTTACCTCTATCCAGATTTGAACCAGCTGTCTAACCTTGAGGTGACCAGTTTGAAGACTTTAGATTTTCTTGGGTATTATTAAAGTGGAACACAACGTTTTTTGGATTAATTATATTTTAGATGCTTTCATGTGTTTGTGTGGACCACTAGTACAGATATGTGTATTAGATCTTAGCCCAATTGTGAGGCTACACAGTACTGCAGCAGTGCTTTGAGCTCAATGCCAATGTCACCATGCTGATGTTTGGCAGTTATAATTTTTCCCATGTTCACCATCTATGTTGAGTGTTTTAGTATGCTAATATTTGCTAAGTAGCACTAAACACATGAGGCTGATGGGATGGTGCTGGATGAACAGCAATTAAAATGTATTCTGAGGGGAACATACGTATATGTCTGTACCAACTTTCATGGTAATCCATGTAAGAGTTTTCAAGCATTTCACTCAAAAACACAAATGTGAACCTCATGGTGGAGCTAGAGGAAAAGTCAGAGGATCACCAAAGTCAATAAGACTCATCCTCTGGGCACAAGCCTATACAAAATTTAATGCAAATCCATTCAGTATTGTTGAGATACTTCACTCCTGACCAAAGAGGTGAATTGACTGACTGTTCAGCCAACATTACCATCCCTAGAGCCATACCAGGAGTGTGGCTAAAAGTACAATCATCTGAAGAATTATGAGAGTGTGTATTTTTGTTCACATTACAGGTGTGGATAGAGGCAGGTTCTCAAATATTCTTCTCCTATAGCCTGACAATAGGGACTCTAAATGTTCTGGGCAGCTACAATGAGTACAACAACAACTGTTACAAGTAAGTGTTATTGGGATACCACGTGAATTTTCTCCTATAGAGGCTACAGGAAGGTTTTGCGATCATATTTAATATTTTTTCTATCCTGTTAAGGCAACTGTTGAAATGTCAAAACAAAAATAACAAGGGTCTCTTCTCTGTCTTACCTTGACCTCTAGAGACTGCTTTTGGATCTGTTTACTGAACAGTGGGACCAGCTTTGTTGCTGGATTTGTCGTCTTCTCTGTGCTTGGATTCATGGCACAGAAACAGGGTGTTACTGTTGATAATGTAGCTGAGTCAGGTATAACTCCTAAAAAATGTAATGTTTGAAAAACCAAACAGAGAGATATACATATAGCATATCAATATTGACTCTCTTCTTGTTTAATTCTAATACACAGGCCCAGGTTTGGCCTTCATTGTCTACCCTCAGGCTGCAGCTATGATGCCTTTGCCACAGTTCTGGAGTGTCTGCTTTTTCCTGATGCTCATTCTGTTGAGTGTCGACACACATGTAAGATTACTGCACTACCCATTAATTAATTGTAACTGAAGGCGCACTTCAATCACAGTGTTAGCTAATTTCATTTTGTCCCCAGTTTGTGACGGTAGAGAGTGTTATCACCTCTGTGACTGACTTGTTTCCGAAGCTGTTGCGTACACAAGTGAGGCACGAGATCTTTGTCCTCTTCGTCTGTTCATTCTTCTTCCTCATACACCTGATCCTTGTCACTGAGGTAAAGCGAATATTGACAGAAAAGCATATTTTAACTTATGAGCACATTGTTGTGAATAACGTCAGTTGTCTTTGTCTGTTCTAGGGAGGCATTTATGTATTTCAGCTTATTGATTATTTTGGTTGCACCAGAGCCTGCCAGGACTTTATGGCTGTATGTCAATGCCTGGCAATGGGCTGGATTTTTGGTGAGCAAAAATCTCTTACCAATTAACTTTTTAATTTAATTTAATTAACTTGCCTTTTTAATGTTGTGATTTGACTATTTATGGAAAGAAATACCTTGATAGTCAGAAAGCCAAATACTGAGTGCAGCATCTTCCTTTCTATTTTAGTTGTAGATGGAGAATCTCAAAGGCAGTAAGAGCAAACACAGAACTGAGGTTGACAAATAAACCAGAGATATACAGTACAATTGTGTATCATCTGTGGTAATTGAAATTGCGATGAGTGTAATGTTGCCAAGGGGGAACATAGAAAACAAAGAAAATAGAAGAGGGCCCAGGATGCTTCTTTGAGGACCTCCATAATCATGATGGTGCCAAAGTACTTAAAATACTCTAATTCTTTTGTTTGTATGAAATCAAAACAATAAAAAGGTCCCAAAGCTGATCACACTGACCACAATAACATTTGAAAAAAGATTTTAACATCTGAAGTTTTAATGCAACGCACACTCTGTGTAAACAAATTTCTTCTTTGGGGGCAATAAAAATCTATCAATAAATAAATATCTATCTATCTTTATGTAATTTTCTATCTATCTTTTGCAGTATAATTCAAATTACTTCAAATGTGAATGAAATATCTGAATCTGAAATATCTCAGGGGCTGATCGCTTTTCTAACATCATTGAGGACATGGCAGGAGAGAGACCATGTATTTTCTTTAAACTGTGCTGGAAATACATAATTCCTCTGCTGACACTGGTGAGTCAAAAAACAATTAAAACACAAAACAGTTTGGATCTCCCACTGGCTGCCAATTATTTCACATAATTTTTTAGTGAATGGCACATTGTGGTTTTTATGTGTGTCCCTGGTCTTTGCTTTGTTATTCTCATCCTCACAGATTTCCTTCATCTTGTACCTGGTTGATTACCAACACCTCAAGGTTAACGGCTGGTACATTTACCCTGACTGGGCATACACACTGGGATGGACCATGACACTCTCCTCTCTTCTCATGGTGCCACTGTGGGCAGCTGGACAGATGTGTTTGACACCAGGAACCTTCAGAGAGGTCAGTGCTCAATGAAGAATTTATTGATTAAAATCACTTGTGTCCCCAGTAAATCATTCACATTAGTGCTCACTTTACTCCAGTGTACACCACCGATTAGCATTGCACTCCTGTGACACTGTCAGACAAGCAATGGAGAAAATTCATTCATCAGAACCGCAGATATGATTTTTCCTTTAAATCATTAAATTAAATAAATTGTCAAAGCCCAGTGCCTATATTACCCACAATTCAACTTGACCACTGACAGTTTGGGCTGAGATTGAGGGGTCTGATGCAAGTACTGGTTTATGTAGCCCTGAGCTGCTAACCTCAAGCAGAGATGAGGAGCTGATATATATTTCACATAGCTTCCTAACGCTTTATAAAAGTTTTCAACTTTTTTCACATATGCAGTAGCAGTATTTCTTAAGACTTGTAAACAGATTTTGATGTAAAGTTCCCCTTTAAAATTTAAACATCATTATCTGAGGCTGTTTTCTTCTTCACATACTCGTATCCTCATAGAGAGGTCATATGTCAGACCAAGCATAATTTACAGCCTATATGACCTACCACAACCACTTAACAGCTGAATATACAGTACCATTATAATTGGCAACATCCTCTCAGTCCTGAGATAATGCTATTTTTGTAAACCAATCTCTCAAAAAAAGTGTGAAAACGAGCAGAGTTCAGAGGATTGCTTCAGCACTATGTTGGTGGGGATTTGGTTCGGGAGTCGTAAAGAGATCCAAATCCTTTGAGATGCTTTGGGAGTGTCGTGATAACAGTATTGTGGAAAGTCACTCACTGTCTTTTTTCCACGTGTTCCAGCGTTTGTCCATCCTCTGTCGTCCTGTTGAAGCTCCAGTCTGGCAGATGGAAAACAGAGAGGAGGGAGCGACTGTTGAACTGAGGACGCCTGCAGTGACTGTTTAATATGACCTGCAATTTAATATTATAGAACATTTCAGCTGTCAGATTAGCCTCTACCAATCAGTGATAATTCAGTGATTACAATCTTAAAGTTCCACTTAATTGACAAAAATATAACACTAATCAACAATTTTAATGATTTATCTTTCAGCCTTTTCTTAAGCAAGAAGCCAAACAATCATCTCAGGTTCATTTGACTTTTACAGTTTAATAGTATATAACTGTAACTCAAATACCTTGGGGTTTGACTGTTCATCAGAAAAAATTAAGCAATTTGAAGATGTGATCTTATGCTCTAGGAGCTAGTCAAGAGGATTTTACAATCCTTTATAAGGATTGAGAATTGCTAAAGATTGCTAATGATAATAATCATTAGTTGCATCCTTAGCTCTTATATGATTGTGTGGATACTGTCTGTTTAGATCTTCACTGAAGTATGAGTCTTTTATTACAATTACAATTATTACTTATATTTATATGTATACTAAAGACAACTATTTAATATTACTGGGGCACATTTGACCATGGCACTTGATTATTGAGTTAACATGTTTGGCTAATACAAGGTTTGAAATGGTTAAGCACTGCAAAGCACCAACTTTGATTTTCCACATTTTAGGTTTTAGACATAAATTAGAGCATGACTGTCTTGTAAAACCATTCAAACAGAAATAGTGTGTGCTATCTAGGTCCTCCTGATGTATGAAAAAAAATGTTGGTGCACCTCTAAGTTCTCAGGCTATAGTAACTGAAAAGCAAAGACAAAGTAACATCTTGTTCTATAATTATGATATCATCACTGAATTCCAGTCAACCTCCTACAGTTATGATTTTAACAATCTGTTGTGTTTATTTTGAGGCAAGACTTTTGTTTAGTTTCAGTTTCCAACAATGTTTATTAAGTAGGTCTCGTATTCATATTATTTTAAACCGGTAGTTACATTAGAAAATTAAAATGTTTGTCATCCTGAACTGGACATATTTATGTGTTGAAGTACTTTTGAAAAGTGTTTTGTTTCCCTTAAACTGTCCATATGATACATTTCAGCCAAGAGTCAGTTATGATCATCAACAGAAAGTCTGTTACAGTGCTTGTTGTCCCTCAGTGCCGATCCAAGTGTCTGATAGTGTCTATTATTTCTTTTGGAAAAATCCCATAATGGAAGCTTGTTTAGTTCCTTTATTTGCGTTAGCAGATGTTTTCTTTTGACTTTTCTTCTCGTCTTCTTTGTTTCTTGCTGGTAATTTTGGGACGGGATTCTTTAGAACCTGTTTGGTGGCCTGAAAATCATCTTCTCCCTCAGAGTACGATTCACTCTCATAGCCTTTTTCTGTCACTGTGGAAAAACAAAAGATAAACCAGAGTTATTAAATAATGCAGAATTAACAGTGATGATAAACTGCATTATACTGACAGGTCTTCGAAGTATTTTGTGAAATCCCATTCATACACATGTGGAAACAAAATCAGAAGCCTCTTTAAATACAATTCAATACCACATGGGTGAAAGTTACAGACACAAAACTTCAATGGAACTGAATCACAGTTTAAATAAATACTTGATTATTAGTCAATTGACTTTTTTTGATCAAATAATAGTTGTATTCCATTTTCCTCTATAGGAATATTTGTGAATATTTGATATTTAATATTTGCTTATTAGTTAAAACTTTTTGTTTTAGACAGCAATCTGAAAACTAATTTAGATATTACGTTGTTCACTTTGGCACATTTTTATGTAGTGTTTTGTAGAGCAGATAATTATTGATAAAATATTTAGGTGGCAGAATTCTAAAGCTTCATCCCAAAGTAGAACCATCACCTCTCAGACACTTAGCAAACAAAAGCTTATACTCAAAAGGTTTTTGAAAAGGTAGTAAATATTTTTGTGAGCCACTGTGATTATTACTAACACAAATTGTCATCAGATATCAGATTTGTTAAGATACAAATGTAAATTCCAGTTAAGTTTATTTTGCTTTTTGTAAAATGAAGATTCAACACATTTAATCCAATCAGACGACGAGTTTTCACTCCTGTGTTTTTCATACCAATGCATCCCTCATCGTCCACAAAGGTACGAGATTTTAGGACCCGCCTCCTTTTCCTCGTCTTCGTTTCAGAGGAACCCTGCTGTAAAATAAAAACATATAAATGTCCAATAAGCCATTCAGTGTTAAATACTGTATTGGTGGAATAAATGGATTTGATAATCAATTATTACATCAGCACTACAATGTCAAACACTTACATGTGAATGTGAAACAGACTCAACCTCCTTTTTAGGACTTGGTGATGCTTCTCTTGTTTCCTTCTGCTGTGGAGAATCTGGAATGACTGGAAAGATAAACAAATATAAGTTTTCTAACATTAAACTTGGAAGGGCTTTTAAAATTTCTCCTTTTCTTTCTTTTTTAAAAAAGGTATTGAATATTCTGATTTTACAATATGAATAAACTAAACTATATCTTCCTACATTGTAGTCAGGAACTAATCTTCACTCACTATAACACTGTGGAAGATATTATGTTAAAAATGAACTCATATTTCCTTATTCCCATTTCATCACTTGTCACACATCGGCAGGACCTTTTTCATTTATACTGTTCATTTAATACAAAATGACTGAAAATAAAAAAATAAGAGAATAAAGTGAAAGTAGACAGCTAACCATCTTCGTCGCTGCTGTCTGGTTCAGGTTTCTTAATCCTTCGCCTCTTTTTCTTCTCCATTTTTTCCTCCTCACTGTCAGAATCTTCCATTCGCTTGGTTTTGCTTTATCAAAAAAGAAATTATGAGCACAAGATCATTACTATTTGATTATTTGAAAGGGATATTTCAGCAGATTTCCCACATGACTAAACAAACACACACCTCCTGTAATCTTTCTTAATGTCTTTTGGTGATTCCTTTGCAGCAGTGTCTTGTTTTTCTTCAGGTTGTGAACTCTGATGTTGCTGCTCTGCTGTGCAGGATGAGTGAGCTGCTTCTTCCTCCTTCACAGTTTTGTCAGGTTTCTCTGGAGAAGTAAGAGAGAAAAACACGACTGATTGTAACATTTGAAACTGCACTGGTTAATATTCTCATACTTGGCAGCAGACCTCACTTCACTAAGGCTTAAGATTATTAGATTACCCGCCTCAACAAATACAGAGGTATATAACAGAACTTAAAAAGCAGTCAGTGTAACTTTATACTAACAATACTACACAATGAAACAACAGTCTCGTCAGAAAAAACAAGACTTGAAGCAGGAATCAAACAGCAGCAGTCAGTGAATTTAATACATGTGAAAGTATTCCCTATTTTATACAAATATACTAAACTAAATTTGGAGCAAATACCTCTCTATGTTCTTGTACATCACAGGTAATATTACTCACTTGCTGTTTGACTCCCAAAGAAGTTCAACACTGGATTGGCTTTTGCAGCTGGTTTGCTTTTAGGGGCATCAACCTAAAATATAAAACACAATTACAAACATCTTCTTATATCCTTGTAGTACTCTGGTTATTCATTTATTTTTTTGCAAGAAGAAATAACTACACTAAAACCGTACCACAGGTGCATCTTCCTTCTGTTCCGATTTAACTTCTTTGCCGCTGTCCTGGTTCTTAGGAGTAGCTTTATTTGCAAACATTCCCATGATGCCTTTTTGCGGCTTGGTGGATGGTTTTGAAGCCGCATTAGCCTCTCCATTCATGGCAGGTTTTTTTACTACAGGCTCAGGTATTTCTCTCGACTGCTGCAGCTCCAGAGATGACATGGGCACGGCACTGTTACAGCGTATCGCACTGTATCTACAAATCAAGTGAAAGGAAATATTCAACTAAATATTGGTAATCCCACAATCCAACAGGATAGCTGTTTTTTTTTCTACTGCCACAAGACAGACTTTCCATTGTTTCTCACATTGTTCAACTATATGATTTACATACTTGCTGCAGTTCTTAAGATTGTCTTTCACGGCATCGTAGTCAACGCTGTAGAGCGGGCCGCTGTCTTTCAGTAAAGCTTTCTGGACGCTGTAGATGTGAACACTGACTATCAAGCTCATTTTAGCTTTGAAATCTGCAAAATAAAACACCTGAGGTTAGACACTTCAGATAACCCTAAATAAACAAAATGAAAACAAATAATCAAACTCAGGGATACAAGAGCACAGTGATTCTCATTGCAAATTGCCAAAAGTATTATTTTACTATTAGACTAAAAAGAGAAGCTACAACAGTAAATAGTGCATGGTCCTCGGGGAAACACTCTTCACACACCTTCCAGTTGGTCCTCTCTGACAACTGACACCTTGTGGCTCTGAAAAGCAAACACAGTGTCAATAAAAACAATCACAACAGCAGATTTGTATGTCCAGAAGGATTCAAACCATGTTCACACAGGTCTCATTACTCACTGTTTGGCCATTGTCCACAAACTTCCCCGACACAAGATAGGTGGCATGGAGCTGAGCTGCACTTTCCTTCCTCTTGTGATCCAGGTAATGGTAGAGCATTCTACAGGACAAGACACACATTTTAATCTTTTTACTACTGGGTTTTTAACATCTTTAAATGACATTACACTGAATTCATCAATACTTCATTTGGATGGGATGAATCAATCAACAGAAAATGAAATTGCAACTATTTCATCAAACAATTGCTTTAATCCTTCGTAAGCAAAAATGTCAAACCTTTGCTTCTTAAATGTCATGATTTGATGCTTTTCTTTGTCATACACAAGAGTAAAATGAATATATTTTGATTTTGGACATTTGAAGACATCCTTTTGGACAATTTTCTGACATTTTATTGACAAAACAATTCATTAATTAATTGTTTTGTCAATAAAATTGAGAAAATAAATCAACGCATTAATCGATACTGAAAATAATTGTTACTTGCAGCTCTACTCTTAAAATTTCTCTAAACTTATTTTTACAGTGTACATAAGCTTGTTTTTATTTACAACATGCCAATGCATACTATTACAACCTATAAGGTGCCAG